TTTTACTAGTTTTCGGCGATTTCACGAAAAAAAAAGCATCGATATTTAGGAAAAGCAAGTTAAAGACGAGAACTACCAGGAAATTCACGGAGAATGAATCTCCAGGTTGGATAGGCCAACAAGAACCATGATTTTTGCCCGTCCCCTTTGGTTTCCTTTTCTTCCAACTCACGTGGGGGTCTCCCATTTCGGGCAAAAAAAACGGAGCCGCGCACGCCGAGACGCTGAGACTGGGTTCTCCTTTTGGCCCCCCCCCCAAAAAAAAGACGCCGCGAGAGACGAGGCTGCGGACGGTGGGCTCCGGCGCCTGCTTCGTGAAGTCCTGCGCCACCTTGCAGCGCCTCGCAGGGACGCCCCAGCCGGGGGAGCTGTGGCGTGGGCGGGACCCGAGGCAGGGCTGCCCCCAAAGGAGTAGACCATGGTGCTGACTAAAAGGGGCTTGCCCCCCAAAAGAAAACAAAGAAGAAAGAACTAAATGAGGGGCTTGCCAGAAACCATGGATTTGGGGTCCCATCCCATAGTTGCTAGAAGTGGAATGCGAATACCAAGGGAATACCATGAATTGTGCGTGTCTCATGTGTTGCTGTTTTTGGGCCGTACCCAACAAAAAAGGCCTTTTGCGACCTGGCATGCATGGTATCGCAAGGGGCAACCACGTCCTCGTCGTGTTTTTTTTCTCCTTTTTTTTTGTTCTCCTCCCCGCCTTTCGTATCATGTCTCTGCTTGCCTTCGTCTGTAGCACAAGCAGTTCCCCATGGCGAATGGACCCCACCAGGTCCCTTTGAAAGGAGAGCCGTCCACGGGTTTGGTCGTTGGGTGGTTCCAATTTCCGCTTCGGCTTTGGTTTTCTTCCATGTGCGGAAGCATGTGTCTTGGTTTCCACTGCTGGCTTTCAACAAGTCATGTCTATTTGTTTCCAGGCGACTTTGGCAACGGAAGATGTTCAGATCTGTTTAGTGTAGTTGGTTTAGTGGGTGGGGTTCCGTTTATCCCACAAGTTATTCACTTCTGAAGGGGGGTCTGCAAACGGACACTGGAGGGATGACGGAGGGAGAAAGATTTAAAGGAAAGTGAGTCATGGCCGTTTCTTCTCACTCCATTCGCAACAACAGCCAAGAGAAATGGCTGAGAGAGAGGCCCTGTTCTTTGTCTCCTCTCCTTTCTCACACTGCAATACTGGGAGACGGGGCTCTTTTTTTCTCCGTTCCCCAACGTCAACTCCATTACAGGTTGTTTGTTGTGTTTGTCTTGCAAGTTGATGTTGGAGGACTCTTTTGCCCGTGCACATCTCTCTTTCTTCTGTCACTTCTTCATTCCTTGAATCTTCCATCATGTAATGTCTAATGATGTCAAATGTTAAGAGATCTCGGATGAAGGAACGACCATCACTTGAACCCTCACCTCCGAACTGGAAATAGAAGGGGATATCGATGGGGGAGAGACCAGAACCCAGATAAGGCGACAGCAATTATTCTAGCTCTTTTGTGACAAATGGAGTGGGTGTATGAGCAAAGCCTCTCTCCATCCTTTTCGTTCACCAACAATCTACAGTAAATACAGGAAGGTGAACGAAGAGGACAGAGAGTGAGCGCTCCCTCCATTCATTCCCGCGCATTCCCATGCAACCTGCCCCTGATGCAAAGCTGCCAAAAGCTCCAAAGTGAGGTCCCGATCCCCTCAAAAGGGCGGCATGACCGAACAAAGCGCTCAACTTGTTTCAATGCAGGTTCCGTCGAAGACAATGCGAACCCCCAAACCACTACTCTGGAGGGATATTTAGGGGCTAACCACAAATATCTACCCTCTTGTGGTTTGGACATGTTTTGTTTCCATGTTCATTCAAGGAGTCTCATTTTGCATCGACACTAAAAGCGGGCAAAAAGGGCCATTTTGCGACTTGGTTGGTTTCCTTTGGGCTCTGATTTCACACTCCCCAAGTCTGAGACCTCGCTGCCAAAGTGGTCTGAACTAACTAATCCAGGGGACCCATTTGCATAAACCGGGGGTTGTCAACACTCAAGTGAAGAAGAGACAGGCCACGGCCAGCTAGAGAGAGTCGAAGGAGAGGTGTAACCACCTCCAGGACTTTCAACGTAGGAGTCTCGCCCATGAGTTGTAGCCAGTTGCCCTTTTTCTTCCTTTGTTTGGGGGAGGGGTTCCCTTTAAACTCAACCAACCAACCAACCAGGATGCCCTTTCTTGCCCATGAAAATCCACTGGGCATCTGGGTGTAGCCACCGGACAGTTTTCTATGGGTGTTGCGAGATGTTATTCGAGACCCCGAGACTGGCAACGCGACCCCAGTCCCGGACCCAGACCTAGGCGGAAGGAAACGAAGGGACCGCATGGGGTCAGCTGCAGAACCTCCCTGTGACCAGTTACCACGAGCAAACGGTTGCAAAAGGGAGGAGTCCAATCACCAGCCAAGGAGCCATGGGAACGTGGTTGATTCTTCTTTCCTTGGTTTTCAAGGGGAGTTATCACTGGAAATGTTTACAAAAAAAGGGGGCTTAGGCCAACGGAAGACGAGGACCCACCTCCCATTGGGTCCCAAGAATCGCCGAAAGCCCACTCGAGCTTTAGGTGTGGCATGAAGGCATGCGACAACTCGGTGATCGGTTGGCCAGCGAGGACGCGAGAGCTGCGATGTGACAAAAATAGGGCTGTGGCAACCAAAAAAACGGAATTCCAAAATGGAACCAAAAATGGCGCCAAACAGGCTTTGGTTCATAAAAACCCGGAATTCCAAAATGGGTTGGAATTCTGGTAAGTGGAAACGTGGGTACCAAAACCTGGCGGTTTTTGCCCCTCCTGAGCCACACCCATATGGCTGTGTGTGGTGTCCTTTTTAGATACCCTCCTTCAGGCACCCTCAAATTGATAATTTGGATTGGTGGTTTCAATTCGGATTTGAGCCGTGGTGCTTGTAGAGGGCAAACGGGAGACCACCCCTTAACCACCAAACCACCAATTACATGGCTTTGTGTGGGCGTGTGCCTTTATTTAGATATCCTTCAGGCACCCTGGAAGTGGTGGTGATTCGGATTTGAAGCCCTGGGTCCGTAGCCACCACCAGTCCACCACCAGTCCAAACCACCAATTACATGGGCTGGTGTAGGGGAAAGGACGAGGAAACGAACCATTTTAGGTGTCCCCAATTTTAGGACACGCCGGCTGATCCCAGTTGGGTGGCAATAAGAAGGACCGCTTTTCGAGGGGAAGACCAAAAAGAACCCCAATTTTTCGGGGAGGAAATCTGAGTGAATTACAACGACCTCACACCACCTCACTCCAAATGGTGGTTTATGTGGGGAATAGCCCCCAAACCACCTTGTTTCAGGCTGGTGAAAATTATAATTCACCCATGGTAAATGCTCAAGGTCATAAGCTGCGTACGGCACAACCTGGATCTTCTTCTTTTTTTTACGCCAGAACTTGGTACCCGTTGATTCGGTCCAATGGAGATTCGGAGAATGGGCCAACCCTACGAGTGCCTTGCCAGTTTTTGTTCCCCTTTCTCGAGGGTCAAAAGAAGAACGCCGCGGGCCAGAAACCCGTGTTTAAGAAAAGAGGCGTCCTTGGCGAAGAAGGGACGCCTGATTTTCCTGCGCCAACACATGTTGATGATGCGGCGAAGTTGGGGAAACCCCGAAGAAGAAGTGATGGAAGATGTGGAGTGGCAAGAGTAAGTTTCGGAGGCCGAAGGCGGTTTCGGACTGGCGGTTTCGAGAAAGGTGGAAGCGCAGGGCAAGGTCGGTTGCAAGGGAGTTCAACTCAGATCCAACGCGACGACCTGAATATACAGTGCTGTCGGGACGAACCTGGCGAGGGTAATCATTACTCACAGCGCAAATACATTTCCGTGGTGGACGTGAAAGATGCTTGCCTGATGGTTGAGCAACGAGATGATGTAGTCATACAATTGCCACCTGGCCGAGATGGACAGCCTGGGAAGTTTAACAAACTGGGAAGATTACTCCCGAGCCAAAGGTCATGTATTCTTGGATTCCTGATTCCTTTGACAATCAAGCCCAAAAGGGGTTAGACCCAGTTTGTGGACAACCCATAAATTTACATGGCCTGTTCCAATCACTTCCCCTTGGTTGCAACTGTTGCGACCTTAAGCCCTTCAACCTTTCGACGATTTTGAACGCGAGCAAGTGGCGAATGTCTTGCAAACCGCTTGGTTTGTTCTTTGTTTTAGTCTTTAACCTTGTTTGGTTTAAAAGACAGTCCCGCCCCCCCCCCCACTCGGCCAGCCAAATGGTTGACGGAACACCTTCTGACCTGACCCATTTCATCCATTCCGTGCCCCCGAACCCCTCGTTAAACCGGCAACTGATCGGTTTCACCTCCAGTGGATTGAGCCAGTTGGTTGGCAATGAAACCGATGGGTTCCACTGGTTTAGATGGGCTTTATGACCCGTTCACTTGCCAGGGAAACCCATTTATTCTACCCCAAAAACACCCATGTGGGTTGCGATTCCTTGAAGTGCAGCCATTTTTTAAGAGAGGAATCGCTTGTTGGAGGAACGCTTATTGCCCGGCCAACAGGAATGATTTTGCCTGGAGATTTGTGTAAAGCAAAGTGCCGCAGAAAGAGTGCCGATCCGGTTTGAGGGCAAGTACTAGTCCAGGCTTGCGCAAGAACTCCCCGGCTCCTGTGCCTTGACACGCGACGAATAGATGCACATAGATTGGCCCCTGAGGTACCGTCCGTTCATACTCCACTTGCCCATATGAACAGAGGTGCAGTAGGGGGTCCCATTTACTCTCAATAAGATTTGCCTCATGTTGCTTGGATGTTAGGACTTTAACTTTTTGCCAACTAATAAGTTGTCCATTAAGCCAATAAAAGTTAAACTTTTAGCGGGGGAGCAGAAAGCAACCGAGTAAGGATAAGGGTTTTAATTCCCCAAGCCACCTATCTAAACCAATCAAGGCGCATGCGGCCACGCGAGGACCGCGGGAGCCTTCGCAGCATCTTCGAGTATTGCGGCATGTTCCTGCCGCCCACACCTCAGACTTGAGATACGCTCAAGATGGGATTCCCACTTGGCCGGGTGCACGACATATACCTGGTGCTCAGGGAATGAGAAATGGCATGACCCCTATAAACCATCCAACTGGTAATTTCGTTCAAGCTACTGAGCACCAGCAAGTATTGGACTTTTCCAAAGGAAACCAAAGGCCCGGAAAGCTACTGTAAGGCTGATTGTGGCTCCAGTGAGCATCGTGGGAGGCTTCAACATCAGGATGCCTCTGAACTTTTAGACGACGTGGTTCTCAGAAGAAACAAAAACGGAAAGAAAAAAAAAAGACACCACCACGCACGAAAAAAGACCAAGCCCGCGGGCCGGCACTGCGCCGAAGAGTTTTTCCCGGGGCGTTCGATTCCACGGCTTCGTTAGGTCCGGGGATGAAGAGGCGCAGCCGCTCTTCGCGGCAAGCACCTCAGAGAGCCGGCCGTTCCGGTCCGGTGAGCTGAGTCGCTCCGTCGCCGCGACGTGCCTCCTATCCGGTTCCGCCTTTGAGCTTTTGTCCGCGTTTCGTTGTGGTTTTATTATTTAAGCCACTCAAAGTTTTGGTCACTTGCGGAGGATCTGAGGGCGGGAACGTTTCTTGAGGGAATCACCTCAAAAGTGGCGGGTGGACATAGATCCGGACGTGGGATGATTGGAAAATCCACGAAAACGGCTGGTTTTTATATTCCCAGCGAAATGAGAAAGGTGTTTCCCATTGTCAAAACTGGGGGCCCTAGGAAGATTGATCAACCCCATGGCGGCTCAAACACCAGCGGCTGAAAATTTTGAGCGCCCATAGGCCAAGATCGCCAATCTAACCACAAGCATCGGCCGGTTTGAAGCTTTCCACGCACACATCTGACTCCCTGAAGGCCGCAAGCACTGAGAGTTCTGGTAGCCACAGGCGATGTTTTAACCGTGTCCAAAAAGCATTGGTTCTAGGCATGGAAAATGGGGAACGGCCGGACTTTTCGTGGGTCCTGAAATTGGGGGGGGGGGAGGTTTGATCGCTGGTGCTGAGGATACTGGAGACTACATGGAGTTCACGGACATGCAGCACGCGCAGCAATCCCTTGGAAGGCATTGGGGTTTCGCGGTTGGCGGATTTTTTTTTTGGATGTCCCCTGTATATCTCTAGGTATTAATTCCTTGTCCATTCTTTTCAAGCATTGTTCTTTTTAAAAACCAGCTGTTTCTGCTGGGTTCTGATGGTTTTCTGGAAAGATCCGGATCCCTGGAAATGGGGAAGTGTCCCCTAGAATAGCGTTATGTTTGAAAAAGAAAGGAGTCCACCAAAGCGAAGCTTTTCTCAAGAACCTGCGTGGTTGCCCCCGAAAAGGTGATCTCAGTGTCCTCAGGTATACCAAACTGGTCAAAAGACGGACTTCGCCGGGCACGAAAGCGAAAGCGGTTCAGACCGGATCAGTTTCCCTTGTCCCTGGTTTGGACTTCTTGTCACTGACTTGTTCGAAGTTTTGCGCGTTGATCTGTGTTGTGTTCTCCATGTGACGCCTTTGAAAAAGCGGCGTTGGGATTCCAAGCACGACATCCTGGCAATTGAACCAAAGCTGTGCAAAGGCCAAGCTGAAAACATATTCCAGGTCCAGTCGCAAGTGCAGGTATGCAACTTCCTGACAAAAATCTGAGTTGTTCTGTCAGTTCAGCGTTTCAAGGGGACACCTGAGTGAGTGTTCCGTGTAGCGTTTCAAGGGGACACCTGGTGGTTGGTAAAAAAGCCTAAGGTGCAACTTTTTGGATGGATGGTCGCCACTTTTCTGTGGTCTTTTTCCACTCGGCTTTCTGAAGGCTGAAACACCAAATTACCATTCGGCTTTGACATAGCCCAGAATGGCTGGCTATGGGTGAAAACCAACTTGGCCATGGCTAGGTTTCGACCCATGTTGGCCGTTTTTCACGCAGAATCCGGCTGCATCCTCCAACGCTCCAGGCTCTTGGACGGCGTGAGCAACACCTTCGACATGCCTTTGGTCTTCTTCGAGGATCGCGTTCCGAGCAGAGCCGAACTCCGCGGTTTGTCGGCGCGAGGCCGCGCGGCCGGAACGCATGGAAAGGCCGCTTTTTTGCCACGACGGAGCCTTTGTGAGGCCATCCCCCAAAAGGGCATGATGCTTTTCCCAGGTGCGGAACTGCCTCTAATCCAAGTGCTGGCTTCAAAGAAGCGCTTTGACTTCTTGAGATGGGCTGGTCGCACTTTTTTGCTTTCGCTTGCTTCGCACCAACACTGCAACTTGACCTTGCAGCAAATGGCAATTTCCCTACTCAGCCAAAAGTTGTTTTTCTTTGCAGGGGTTAACGACCAATCGAGAGAAGAAGACAAAAAAGAGGACACTACAAGTGCCCTGGACCGGATGCCCTAGGCCTGCGAGATCCTTACCAAGATGTTTCCCCAGGGAGATGGTCATTAGTACATAGCTTGATCGTCGTTCTTGAAGTTGGTAGCCTCTTGCTTGTGGCT